ATCCTTGTTTGCCAAGTACACATGTATGTGTGTGGCTGCTTGTGGTCCTGTTGTATGGAATACCTCAGAATAACTCAGGTTTATCACACATAGATCATGTTCGTGGGAAAAAGGTCATTTGGGAGAGCATGTAGATGCTACTTAATGATGAAGATGTCACATTTGTTGGCACAAAATCCTGAGTATTCTGGAATCTTTCACATCCATTTGGTTTATCAAGATGTTGACTTAAAGTCAGCTGAAGTTCAAATTTGAAAAAAGGAAAGATTCTCTTGGAACCTTCATAAGAAAACAAAACACATAAAAGAACATGACACCATCATGACTTAATTCTTACTCTGATAACGACACAATCATGACATGATGTACCTCTGATAATGACACAATCATTAGATAATGTACCTCTGATAATGACACAATCATGACATACTGTACCTCTGATCATGACACAATCATGACATACTGTACCTCTGATAATGACAATCTCAGCATGATATACCTCTGATAATGACACAATCATGACATACTGTACCTCTGATCATGACACAATCATGACATACTGTACCTCCGATAATGACACAATCACAACATGATATACCTCTGATAATGACACAATCACAGCATGATGTACCTCTGATAATGACAATCACAGCATGATGTCCCTCTGATAATGACACAATCATGACATGATATACAGCATGATATACCTCTATATCACAGCATGATATACCTCTGATAATGACACAATCACAACATGATATACCTCTGATAATGACACAATCATGACATGATATACAGCATGATGTACCTCTGATAATGACACAATCACAACATGATATACCTCTGATAATGACACAATCACAGCATGATATACCTCTGATAATGACACAATCATGACATGATATACAGCATGATGTACCTCTGATAATGACACAATCACAACATGATATACCTCTGATAATGACACAATCACAGCATGATATACCTCTGATAATGACACAATCACAGCATGATATACCTCTGATAATGACACAATCACAGCATGATGTACCTCTGATAATGACACAATCACAGCATGATATACCTCTGATAATGACACAATCACAGCATGATGTACCTCTGATAATGACACAATCTCAGCATGATATACCTCTGATAATGACACAATCATGACATGATATACCTCTGATAATGACACAATCATGACATGATATACCTCTGATGCTGACACAATCATGACATGATATACCTCTGATAATGACACAATCATGACATGATATACCTCTGATAATGACACAATCATGACATGATATACCTCTGATGCTGACACAGTCATGACATGATATACCTCTGATAATGACACAATCATGACATGATATACCTCTGATTATGACACAATCATGACATGATATACCTCTGATGCTGACACAATCATGACATGATATACCTCTGATGCTGACACAGTCATGACATGATATACCTCTGATAATGACACAATCATGACATGATATACCTCTGATAATGACACAGTCATGACATGATATACCTCTGATAATGACACAATCATGACATGATATACCTCTGATGCTGACACAATCATGACATGATATACCTCTGATAATGACACAATCATGACATGATATACCTCTGATAATGACACAATCATGACATGATATACCTCTGATAATGACACAATCATGACATGATATACCTCTGATAATGACACAATCATGACATGATATACCTCTGATAATGACACAATCATGACATGATATACCTATGATGACACAATCATGACATGATATACCTATGATGCTGACACAGTCATGACATACTGTACCTCTGATAATGACACAATCTCAGCATGATATACCTCTGATGCTGACAATCATGACATGATATACCTCTGATAATGACACAATCATGACATGATATACCTCTGATGCTGACACAATCATGACATGATATACCTCTGATAATGACACAATCATGACATGATATACCTCTGATAATGACACAATCATGACATGATATACCTCTGATAATGACACAATCATGACATGATATACCTCTGATAATGACACAATCATGACATGATATACCTCTGATAATGACACAATCATGACATGATATACCTCTGATAATGACACAATCATGACATGATATACCTCTGATGCTGACACAATCATGAGCATGATATACCTCTGATAATGACACAATCATGAGCATGATATACCTCTGATAATGACACAATCATGACATGATATACCTCTGATAATGACACAATCATGACATGATATACCTCTGATAATGACACAGTCATGACATGATATACCTCTGATAATGACACAATCATGACATGATATACCTCTGATAATGACACAGTCATGACATGATATACCTCTGATAATGACACAGTCATGACATGATATACCTCTGATAATGACACAATCATGACATGATATACCTCTGATAATGACATGATATACCTCTGATAATGACACAGTCATGACATGATATACCTCTGATAATGACATGATATACCTCTGATAATGACACAATGATGACATGATATACCTCTGATGCTGTGCAGATTTGCTTAGTGAACTTTTTTTACTGTCAAAGGAATAGAATGAACATAATTAGTAATAAAAACTTATTTGTTAACATTTTGCTTCTTGTAATGCTCAGTAAGCCGACTCCTCTTTGATAATTATGATTTCAAGATTTTAAGAAAGGTTACCTTTACATTTTTAGAAGAGAGAAATTAATGCACATATTCCAGACAAAATAAAAACAAACAAATGGAAATTAATTACATCAAGCTGTCTAAAAAGATAACACCAGCTGAAGATAACCAAGTCTTGAAACAGAATACAAATGTTTTACTCATTGAAAGATAATTATTTCTGATTAAATTTTAAAGAAAAGATAAAAATCACCCCATGATTTTATTCTTTCTGATAGACAAGGCCAGGATATCACTCCGGGACATCCATAGCAGTGATACACTTACTGGAGGATCAGGTATTTTAACTTTTTATCTGTTTGAAATTATGAGTCTCAGGTGTGGCTTGTGTGTCCATATAGCTGGTGGCCTGCTCATCCTGATTCTCCGCAGGATACCTGGCCAACAGGTGGTGTTTCTGTTATCTCGTTAAGCAAATTAACGAGCAGGTAATTTATGATCAATATGGCTCTCTAATGTTAGTATGGCAATGCGATAGCGTTGTCAAAAGTCAAGCAGATTTATCGGCTGTGTGTGGTGCAGGAGCCCCTGTAATGGGTCACGCACCGAGGCCGAGCATACAGGCAACAATGAATAGAGTAGAACAGTGGCCATTTTCAGCAGAGTTTTCTTTTTAGGAGAGTTAAATTTTATGGCATTAATCTGTTCACAGCTGGTTGCTGTATTGTATCAAATGCTAGCAGTGTTTATGACCCAAGTATGTCAAATGCTCGCTTAATCTCAATTAAAATCACCTCACCTTCGTAATATGAAAAAGTATTACATACATAATCACAATGCATTGTAAAAAGATGGCAAAGGAATGTTTTGCTATCATAAGAACTGTCTTCTAAAACGTTCTTTCCTTTTGTGATTATTGACAAAAAAGTTGCAATGGAATTTCTTTAGTGTGCATGTTTATATAGTCCCTGCTTTATCAAACGCATCTTCAAAATTCACTGAGACCTCCGAAACATTTTCGGATAAAATGCAATAAAATTAATGATTAGATGTCCATGTAACTTTTTAAATGATTTATTTGTATGGTATACAAAGAGTCGCTCAAATACAAAACTGTGTATTTATCGGTATGAAGTATGTAGAAAATTTGTAAAATTTGGGTGAGTATCTGTTTTCTGGTGTGTAGCTCACTAATTGTGTTTACTTTTGTATACAGAATGATCTATGACACAGATATTAAGTTTATGTTCGAAGCTGCAAGCAGCACAATCCTAGCTATATTGCTGTAACCTGTAGATAGCCTAGACTGGGCCGTACAAACAAGTGATTGATATGATGAGCAATCCCCAGCAGTGTGTGAAATAGCCACTGGCCCGCTAGCACGTGGCTAGTAAAAATCCAGTCCAGCCAGTAAATCTCCACAGTCACTGGCCAGACTGGCTAGTGAATTTTCATGGGGTCATTTTGTAAATATATCACTCTCTCCAACTTGTTAAGTTTTAATACCCTTTTAAATCATGCAAGATTATAGCCTGATAAACATGTTCATCGTATTAGCAGCTTAATTATGAAACCAGTGTCATGTCAATAAAATCTTAATCTCATCTATTTTTGTAATCTTTTGCTACATTTCTACATTCAGATTTCAGGCTAGTGAATTAGTTGGTAGGCTAGTAACATTCAGGCATAGCTAGCGCAACCCACAAACATAATTTGGAAACTATTTCGCACACTGCCCTATAGCTGTCGGGTATGATTACATCAATCAAGCAAGTCACCAGGCCTGGCCATCCAATCCTCAATTTCACCATCTGTTACAGTCAGTAAAGGCTACAAGGGATGACTCGAGCAGGAGTCCTTGAAAGGAAGCATTGTCAGTGTATCATTGATTTACGTACCAGAGAACTACACAAACATAGAAAGAAATCTGTAAAGATATGACAAGTAACTTAATTGCTTTTGATGACAATGCTTTTTGTGTCGAGAGCAATTGCATGTTGAACCACAAAGTTCTTTTGAAATGACGTCATGGATCTGCTCCTTCATTACCGGATGCCGTGATGTTTGAAAAAATGTCTTGCCGAAAACTGAAAGTTCCCTGAGTGCGACAGTTTTTAGCAATTTACTAACTTGAAGAACTCCAACTTGGGGAAATTATGTTTTTATGGATGAAAATAACAATAAGTTGTGTAAACATATTATTTCACAGCTAAATCATATTTTGCTTATTTTATGCGTAAATATTGACATAGTGTATGTCTGCCCTTTTGCAATAATCATGAACTATGTAGTGATTTCCTGGATTTTATACATGCTGAGAAAGATTGTGCCTTCAAATTCTAATCTTACCACTAACCCTGATCCTGACCCTAGCCCTAGCCCTAGCCCCAGCCCCAGCCCCAGCCCTAGTCCCAGTCCCAGCCCTAGCCCTAGCCCTAGTCCCAGCCCTAGTCCCAGCCCCAGCCCCAGCCCTAGCCCTAGTCCTAGCAGTCCTAGTCCCAGCCCTAGCCCTAGCCCTAGTCCCAGCCCTAGTCCCAGTCCCAGCCCCAGCCCCAGCCCCAGCCCCAGCCCTAGTCCCAGCCCTAGTCCCAGCCCTAGTCCCAGCCCCAGCCCCCAGCCCCAACCTAGCCCCAGCCCCTACCCCCTAGTCCCAGCCCTAGCCCCAGTCCCAGCCCCAGCCCCAGCCCCAGCCCCAGCCCTAGTCCCAGCCCTAGCCCTAGTCCTAGCCCTAGTCCCAGCCCCCAGCCCCAGCCCTAGCCCTAGTCCCAGCCCTAGTCCCAGCCCTAGTCCCAGCCCTAGCCGTGACCATGACCATGACCACCATGACCATGACCTTCACCCTAACCTAATCCTTATTTTAACCTTGACCTAACCTGAACCTGACCATGACCCTCACCTTAACCCTAACTGTCACCCTAACCTCAACCCTCACCCTAACCTGTCCTAACCTAACCCTTTGTAACCCTTACCCTAACTGTCACCCTAACCTCAACCCTCACCCTAACCCTCACCCTAACTGTCACCCTAACCTCAACCCTCACCCTAACCTAACACTTTGTAACCCTCACCTTAACCCTAACTGTCACCCTAACCTCAACCCTCACCCTAACCTAACACTTTGTAACCGTCACCTGAACCCTAACTGTCACCCTAACCTCAACCCTCACCATAACCTGTCCTAACCTAACCCTTTGTAACCCACACCCTAGCCCTACCTGTCTCCCTAACCTCAACCCTCACCCTAACCTAACCTAACACTTTGTAACCCTCACCCTTGTCTCCCTAACCTCACCCGCACCCGCACCCGCACCCGCACCCTAACCATGACCCTCACTCTAACCCTATCTGCAGGGTATGAAACTCCCAGAAATTTCAGCCAGACCACAGGTCCACAAACTTACCTGCCCACATAATATCTTCATATACATGTCTAAATTTTAACCCGACCTTCGGGCAGGTGAATTTGAGAATCTGGCAGACCGTGTTGAAAATAACCCGTCTCGGACAGGCAGGTATTATGAACGCTGCTAACTGTCACCTTAACCCTAACGTCAACCCTCACCCTCCCCTACCCTAACCTAACCCTTTGTAACCCTCATCCTAACCTAACCTACACCCGCACCATAACCCTAACCATGACCCTCATCCTAACCTAACCCTAACCGTAACCATGACCCAAACCTTATTTTGATTTTTTAATAATTGGAGGTCAGAGTTTACAGATGGAATTTTTATTGTGTTCCCAGCATACATCTTTATTATTTAATCCAGACATGAAGGTTAAAGATTTAGATGCTGAAATCCCACCACAGCATGAGACCAACATTATTTATTTTGAAGATATTATCCAATGTTCAATGCCCAGATGTCTTTTCGACAGCTTAAAAACGTCCAGACAATTTCCGGGGTTTTAATCCAATTAAAGACATTTTATAACCAATTTCCCTTTCTAATTTGATTTACCAAGCACTCCCACTCATTTTTCAATTGTTACTGTAATAGTTTACATGGAAACAGCTTTTAGGACAAATACGGTAGTGCAGACGATTAGACATCTTTGAAAAAATGTATTTTGAATCACTTTTGTATAGAAACATGAATTTCATGCAGCATGTAAATTTTCAATTAAGCGAAGCTTCTATAAAGGTTTTAAGTTGTTTTATAAGGGTCATGCACTTTAATCAATTTAAGCTTGATTTTAATGATTCAGAAAAAGAGCTACTGTTAAGGATTATAAGTGGGGCCTTTAGATAATGGCTGCATTTCTTTAAAAAAAACTTTTTAAAAGTTTGTTCAAAGATGTTTTAATAAATGTTTGAAATGATGGACGCCATTTTGTTAAACTTGAGCTTGTTTCTTGGTCTGTATATATGCCAGTTAACTTTTAACTATATTAAGAGAATAATTTTGAAAATATTTCTACAGGAACAGAATAGTAGAATAATGATATTATAATATTAAAAGACATAAATTGAAATATGAGGCTGTAAAATCATTTTGTGATTTTTGTGATTTTAATATGGAGTTACCCCCCTTACCATGTTAATGCAAAGTTTCTTCCAAAGTTGTCACTTCATAAATCTTGATAAATATTGTGACAAATTGAACTAATTGATACAAGAATATATACCAGGGGTGGTTTGATTAAGATAAGACACATATATGCAAAATGTGACCAGCTATTAATAAGATCCTTACAAAGTACTGGTTCATGCGAGGCAGTGTGATGTCACAAAGAATATCGATCGCTTCCACAGTAGCGAGCTGATGCCACGAGGATCAGCGACGTATATCTGTAGTTGACCAAAGTATCCTGTCTCCGCACAACGCAACGAGTTATAAACCTCTTTATGTGGTGCCTGATATGTGTGAAAAATATGTCTATTATGACCATAAATATTGATGACACATGTGGATTTCATTTTTAAAATTGGATAACAACTATAAAAACTTAAGTTTTTCAACATCACTGACATGCTGCATAAGTTATGTTTTTAAACATGTTCATTTCATCTTATTGGAATATTTTTTTGTAAATTTTCCTCAATATTTTTGTATAGTGGTATGTACAGTAATAAGTTAGAAGTTCTTTCCCTTTCTTTAAGATTACATAATTACGTATCTTGTGCGTCGGTCTTTCGTTATGTTTCAACTGGACAGACAGACATTCTCATGAATCTGTCCTAATTTTTCCTGTCAAGTTTTAGTCTGTGGGACCGGTCACATGCAACCCATATACATATAGTTTGTTCCACTTTTAAACATAAAGATTCCATTAAAGGTGAAATCTTGTTGATCAGTCAGGTCATGTTTTTCAAATGAATTATTATGACATTACTAGATAAACTCCTCCATGATGTTATCAATGTGACGGGTAGAGGGGTAGTGAGGTAGCCTAGTGGTTAAAGCTCTCCCTTGTCAAGCTGAACATCCGGGTTTGATTCCCCACATGGGCACAATGTGTGGTGCCCATTTCATGTGTTCCCTGCCGTGATATTGCTGGAATATTGCTAAAAGCGGCTTAAAACTAAACTCACTCACCACTATCAATGTGAAGTGTCCATATTAACAAGGTTTAGATTATTGAGGTTTGATTGTATTGTGAAAAGTATGTAATGGTATACTGTGACGTAAATCTGATAAACAAAGAGATGTGTTCCTGTGGCCATGTTTAGTTGTCACTGTGAGATTTAAGGGTTGACAGGATAACCATATGCTCGGGGTGTCATGGTTTATTTTTACCTGGATCATATCATCACTCACCCTAACTCACTTTAATTTGGGTCTGGTCCAGACTCGATTATTCACAGACCGCCGCCATATAGCTGGAATATTGCTGAGTGCGGCGTAAAACTAAACTCACTCACTCACTTTAATTTGGTATCTCTAGGTATGTGATGTACACACAATTCATCAAATTTGTTACGGTGAAATCCTGATATTCCCTGTCTAAGGAGACTTGGTATTTCTCCCTGAAACACGTTTGTGACTTTTAAGACATATTCTGTGGTTTGTTAGTGAAGTGCTCAGTAAAGCAGTGTGAGTTACGCCAGTGTAAACATTTTGTGACGACTCAAAAAGTATTCTGTATGACAAACTTTTACGAATATATTAATCAATTTTAACATCACCATAACCTGAGACACTGGGTGTTTGGTGTAATATCACTGGCCTCATTAGTACAGTGAAAGATTTTTCTCAAATAATCATATCGTATGTTATCTGTATATTATGTTTCACTGTCTCCTATATTATCAATTTCAGCAGATTGGGAAGGACTTGCAAATAAATTCTCGTTACTGTGTAATGAACTGTAAAGCACTTAAAGAACAACTTGCGTCCGAACAAAAACTCCCATGTTTAGAAAGTTTATGTACCTGATGAAATGGATATCTTTCCAATTTTCATCTCAACATTTTTATCATCTTCACAAATCATTTTTAAAAAACGGTTTGTTATGGTGTGTCGAACATATGACATACTTTTGATTAAAATTTATTCTCATACCGGCTCAATGTTCCCGGAACCGCCATTCTGCAACACCAGCCCATTATCACCACCGAAGACGTCAAACTTTGTGAGTTTAGCCGATGGATGTTTATTTTTCTACAAAGTTTCCATCTCACAACAGCTCCCTACAGTGCATTTGGCTAACATTTCACAAACGACTTTTTAAATGACGCTGATAACATCTTCACTAGTAAGACTGGGGTACGTTCAGATATTATTATCAGCGTGAGGGGTACTGCACCAGCTGATAGAACAACATTGTGTCACTAGCATCATGGAAGTTTTCATGAAGTTAGAACTGCCTTGCACCAAAAATGTAATTTTAATGTCCTTTTTAAGTATGAAAGAGAATTTGATTAATGGAAAAAAACCATATGGTTTTTATCAAGATATAGGAACTTTAAAAGATTGTTTAAATGTATAGAAACATTGATGTAATATGTAAACTTGTGTTTCGGAAATGTCTGCATTTGTTTATAAGATTTCTTAAAGTTTTTCTATTTATAATTTGAAATTTTGATACCATTTTTTTTGTAAACACTGATTTTATACAATATTTTAGAATAATATGAAACCCACTGTCATGCTAAATCACAGTTGGTGTTTTTCGCAGTAATGCACCTAATTGTGTAAGGGTGTCGCAATGATAAAGTACCACGCCCCTGCCCTGGTACTGACTAACGACTTCACACAAGATCTTACTCATTAACGAATCCTCATGAGAGATTCCACACAAGATTTTACTCTAAGAATTGCAGAAAAAAATCTGCATATTACATCATGAACAAGTACTTTCAGCAACGTACATAAGCTCAAAGACATCAAGCCTGCCTCTAGCTTGATAACTCAAGTCCAGCCACAATTATTTAACCGTATATATGGAAGAACTATACATGTTTCGTGGTTGTTTTCAAGGGTTTTGGTGCGAGACAGTTGGGAGAGGCTGTAAGAGGGTAATGAAATACTCCTGTTTTCTTCAAATGGTAGATATCTTGTGATTTTCTGAGTTTTTGCATTAATTGTTGTTTGTGAGACATTTTATTTGATTAGTGCAAGAAAAAAGAAGGAAGTTTAAGTTTTTTTTAATCGATCTGCATGAATCGTCACATATTCAGGACTGATCTATGGCCGGTGCTTAGTTACTGAAGAAATAGTTCATTTGGAAAAGGATGCATTTTTGTAGATTTATGTCAATGAACTTTTAATTCTCTTGTTGTATTTATTTAGAACTTAGTCATAAATTGGAAACAAACACTGTCCGTGAACATGATGAAGATGTTTCACACATACAAGACTGTCCGTGAACATGGTGAAGATGTTTCACACATACAAGACTGTCCGTGAACATGTCCGTGAAGATGT